GACACAGCCACAGGAAGCTTCTTTTTCTTTTCCTGTGTAGATTGAGGATTTATTCATTAATTCATTCATGCATTTGTTTAATGTCACTAACACTGGGAACCCATGTTTCTAAGAAATAATGTATTTTATGTGGAAACTCACCAAGTATCTTTGTTATTCCTTCCTCAGTAAAAGATTGGGTGAAACCTGGTGAAAGAAAAAAAAAAAAGACACAAAACTAGATGGAAACATTTTAGAAAGAACAATCACTAAATTTATCTTAATTGTATCTATCATATGTTTCATGCTGTTTTCATGTGTGGCAAGTACAAATAACATGAATAAAGAAAAACTTTTCTTATGAACATATTTATAAGGAGTTAATTTCTAGTCAAGAAACTCCTCAGATGGGTCTAGGCATGGAGAACAGGGGTTGCTGCAGAATTCAGATTTCGGAGCATCTGTGCTCCTGGTCTGGATATCCAGTAGTTCTGTAGTTTGTTACATGGAAAGACACTCACCAGTTGTTTCTGTAGCTGTGCCCTCCAGGTAAGAAGCTGTCGTACCTGAGGACAGTGTAATTATGAGAATTAAATATCTCCTGTACACTTGGAGGATATGAAAGTTTTAATCTCCACAGCAAACAGCACCTATCTGAGTAACCCAGCACTCTCCACAGTCTTGAAAGACCTTCAGCTGTTGGTCCCTGAGAGTTATTTTGATCTCTAGCACTCACAGGCTTCATACAGTGATGAGACCATCTGAATTTTCATCACTGGTTCCCAACAGCATCTTGGGTCTTTGCACTGGACTTGTGTTATCATAGAATTGGTTTGGGTGGGAAGGGACCTTCAAAGGTCATCTAGTCCAACCCCCCTGCAATGAGCAGGAGCATCTTCAACTAGCGCAGGTTGCCCGGAACCACATCCAGCCTGGCACATGCACTAGGAAAAGCTCCTGTGCAGCTTTTATCTTAGAAAGAGAACAGGAATTCAGCCGTTGCAAGATTTACCTCAAATGGGGAGAAGAGGGAGCACAGCATGCAACCATCACCCGCAAGCAAACCCATGAAGATGGGGACGCCAGTGAAGGGCCCCTAGCTAAAACATGGCCTAAAGGCCATATTTTAGAGATGTATTCGTTTAATATCACTAACACTGGTATAATTTAAAGGCATTAGCATGCTTCTGTGGGATACCATGTTTCTAGGAAATAATGTAATTTAGGTAGAAACTCATCAAGCACCTTAATTATATCTTCCTCAGTAAAAAACTGGGTGAAATACAAGTTTCACACAGACCCGGATACAATTGTTTGGGGAAAGCTGCTCTACCCAAACCAACCCCACCATGCTGGATGTCCTGGGTGCCCTCGCCTCGCTGCTAGCACACACACACCAAGGAGGCATCCATCCACCCCAATGGCGGGGTGCCCCTTGGGCATGCCGCCCGAGGTCCCACAAGGCGGTCGCACCACCTCAGCCCACCCCGGTCCCCGGTTACCTGGTGCCGCCGTGGGGAAGGCCAGCACTGGGGCCAACACGGCCAGGAGGAGCAGCGCTGCCCTCGCCATGGCCCGCTGAGAGAGCCCGGTGGGAGAAGCTCGGCGCCGCCGCTACTTGAGGAGCAGCAGGGTGGGAAGGAGGGGAACGGCAGAGGGGGTGCACGCCCGGGGCCATCCAGAAACGCATTCCCGCATTTCACAGGTAACTGAAATTCCCCTCTTAGCCTGCTCGCTGGTTCCAGAAGCTTAGCCCGGGGGCAGCGAACCCCCTCTCATCTGAAACCGCCTTGCCCGGCTGGTGCTGCCGGAGGGGGCCACTCCCAGCTTAGGCTCGGCTTTGGTATTTCCAGTTTCTGAGGCCAGGCCCAAAGAAGCCTAAAAGCACGGATAAGGTTGTTTTGGGGGTTGTTTTTGCATGCTGTAAGCTCATCTAACAGAATTTAATACGCTGCTTTATAACCCCAGTTTGGGAGGGTGGGTGGGGTTTTCTGGATGGGTCTTTTAATAATACTTTTGCATGCTTATTATGTTGGCCTGAAATAAGACTAGCTTATTTATTATTTCCTAGAGTTTAAAAAAAAGCAGTCCTCCTTAATTACACCCCAATTCCAGTCTTCCTCCCCATTTCTTGTAAAGAGCCTATCCAGATCATCCTGATTTGAGCCTGCTGCCTTTATGAGCAGCCCCATCGAATCCCAGGGTATTGCTCTTAGATATCCTATAACTGCCTTCTCAAACTGTGAACATCTCAGGAGTCACCTGCTGTAGTGTGACTAGGCCCCTTATTAAGACAGCCAGGAACAGGCGAGCACCTTCAGAGAACTACCTTCTAATTCCCCTCATCAGGAAGAAGTTGTCTTTCCGCCTTGAGGAAAGCAGCTGCCAGAATTCAAATGACTTACCTTAATTAACAATATAAGACACGAGAGGTGATTGAAATATCTTAATTAAAGCTACATATTCTTTAGAATACTCTTTTTTCCTGGTCTGGACAGGGTGAGGGGATAGCTATGTGGTCATTAATACCAGAGCTGGGTCCTGGAGGGTTAAAGAACAGTACTGAGCTGTGTACAAGGTCTGAGTTCTGATGAATCAATGTGGGACAGCAATTAAGCCAGTGATTTGTTTACAGCTGTGGACGGTCAGCTAATGGCTGATCTGGCATCAAGACTAGCTGTACAAATTTGAGCCTTCTATATTTGTAAGAGGTTTCAAACAAGCACAGAGTAAGGATATTTTGACATGACATTAGAAGATCTCAGGGCAGATTTGCTGTGATGTCAAAGCCTGGTCTCAATTTCTTTGCTTACCAGAAAGTGTCTCCTCTTCCTGTTCAGTACTCTTGTACTCTCCATAATACAAGGCCTTTCTACTCAACTCTTAGGAAAAGAAACAACTCCCTGCCCCAACCCCAGGTGCTGGATTAACCATGCAGAAATTCTGAAGCATTTTAATGGAAATCCCAGATAAGGAGGCACTAGTAAACAACAGTATCTGCAGAAGAATATGGTTTCAAACTGGAATCTGATAGACCCTGTACAAACTCTGTTATGGAATACCACAGAGTGCTTATCACAGCCTGTGTTAAGAGGGGCATGGGCTTCAGCCAGTGTGCATGCAAAGAATTAAAGGGTGACCAATCTAGTGTTTCTACATAAGACTGAGCTCTCATGGTCTCCTTGGTGCCCAGCTTTTCTGCCACATAACTGATGCAACCCCAGAGAGGAAGCAGTGAAAAAAAAGGAATTTCCTCTAGCAGAAAAGAAGATGAAATTATGAAGGGAGAATTCAATGCAGTGGAAATGCATTGTTTATTAATCCCTAGTGTCCTTCCTCACTGAAACGTCACTTTCTCAGGTACCTTGATCTTGCTTGTCACTATCACCTTGTCGTGCTTTGTTCCAAGTCACTTAGAGCCCTGTTCTCCTGTGGTTCTGACACATCACTGATTACTTTGTATTATCTGCAGCTTGCACTTTCTTCTGTTGCCCATCTAATATTCCTACCTGCTTGCCTTCCACTTGCTAAATGTCCAGTCTCATGCTTTTGCCTGCATCTTGGAGTGATTTCTGGCTTTGCGGGCTATGTCTTCATCCTGAAGAGGGGAAGGCTAGGGTAAGTCTGAAAGAGAGTAAGTAGCAAGATCTGTAAAACAGATATGCCACAAACCAGCTTTCCCACCAATGTAAATGAAGGAGATTCTGTTACTCTTGCTGGTGCTGCAGGTTCCATCAGGTGATTGGTACATCGTGTATGGCTTCCTCAGCTATTCCAAACTTTTATGATGCAGGTTAGGGATGCAATATAAGTTGTGCTCACAGGCTTGCCTTTGCCAGTTTGCTGTCCTGGAAAACACTAGTTACATTTCTGGTGTTTTTGCATTTCTGGGTTTGACAGAGGAAGTGTCTTATTTTAGCATTCACAGCAACCTCATGTTGCTGTAGGTTGGGCTCGCTGTTTGTTACCCCCATCTTAAACACAACACATTTAATACAGTTGTGCAAGATGTTTATTTTTCTTGGTACTGCATGACTATCTCAACCCTATATACCACTGAGATTTAAAACAAGAAGCAAGGGAAGATGGAGAGACTTTTGCATGAGTCTTCACTGTCAGGCGTGGGGTCTGTGAAATACCCTGACACCACAGGACAAACCTCATCATGCATTTGCTGAAAAGGGAAATTGTAACCCAGGAGAGAACATGCAGACAGAGCTGCTCTAACATCAGGGCTGAGAGCTATACATTATTGAGGATGCATGTCTGCCATCCTACCTCAACTGCACTTGCCACCATTTCAGGTTGGGTGTTACAGTGTTTCACAGTTTCAATTTTAGGGGCTGTGTTTTGTTATTTTCTGTTTATTCACTGGCTTTCTGTGCAAGCACAATTGAATGAGCATGGGGACCTGATCCTCTGGGAAAAAAGAAAACCAAAACCCTGGAGTTACGTGAGGTCTGCATAAAAACTGTGGAGCAGTTTGACCATTGTTATGAGGAAAGAGCTAAGAGTCCATAATAAAAGCATACACTGAAATCAGCTTAGAAATATGGTTGTTTTTTTTTTTTTAACTGAATGTACATAAGGATATGGCTTCAAGAACATGTTGTAAAAGGCAAATTTTTTAAATATGTGGTTTTCACTGAACTGTAGAAATTCTTTCTTAAATTTCTAAGTATCTTCAAATTGTCTCCTCTCTGTACAGCTGGGACTAAGAAAACTAATCACTGTTGCACCTAAACACAGAAGGAGGGCTGCAAGCAGGTGAGAACTAATCCAGCTTCTACTGTAACCCATGTAACTCTCAAGGGTCCACGAGTTACTTCTGCTGCTGAACCAAGCTTTCAAGCTTGGTAATGTTTGAGCCTGCAGTTAGAACAGTCAGCCAGGGACAGCAGCTTTGCAGGAACCCAGACCTGAAGGCAATGGGAGGCCGAAGAAGTGCCTAACGCTGAAGATACATAAGGTTTCAAGGAGTTCAGGATGCAGAAATCAAGGCAGAAACATGTTGTTCTTAATTGCACTGATCCTGAGGAATTTGGGAGCTGGATGGACTATCTCTTAATGTAGATTAAAAGATGTTTTAGTCTCACAGATAGGGAAAAATCATCCTGCAAGTTAGATACATAAGGCTCTGAAATGGACTTTGTGGGCAAATGGATCAAGAAAATTGAGCTTCAGCCTTTTGCCATGAGTCATGTTCAGAAGCACAGGAAGTTCAGGAATCCCTTTGAAATATACTAGTGAACAAATTGTTTCATTGTTACATTTTTAATAATAACTTCCTCATTTTTTGTGTGTGTGAGTTTTATCCCAGCAGGTGAAGAAGGCAAAAATGATATGCAATCTCTGGACAAGAGGCAGCTTCAACACTCTTCACAACTTGTAGCGTGCCTTATGTTTGTTATATCATCTAGCAGTGGAGTTTATTTTGGAGAATGATCAATAGCATGGAAAATCTTAAAATATTTTAATTATTGTATGTTATGTCTCAGTGGACCCATCCAGTTTGTCTCAGGTGGAAGTAGATTCCTACTCTGATAGTCCTTCCACACTACAGAAAAGCTCCAGGCTTTTTCAGTTAGTGTGTGGAAACTTCAGCTGCTTCCCCTGCAAGACCATATACAGCTCCAAGAACAGGGCTGACTGTTATTTTCATTAGTTGTCATGAACTAACAGAAGTCCTGCTGTTCAAACTTCTGCTCTCAGTGACATGCCTCATCATTATTTGGATCTGAGCACAAGGGTCACTGTCATTCTGTAAACCATCCTCGAGATGAGGCACAAAAAATGGTAGTCTCCAGCTCACCGTATTCCAGCTTTGAGGAATCTGTAGGGTGAGCACAGACAAAAGCTGTTGACGATTAATCACTCTAGACTGTCACTCTGACACACCAAGGAAAGGTATCAAATAGATCTGTTATTACATGCTCATGCTCCATGAACATTTTCACTCTAAGAAATGGTGAAGAAAATCATCACAGACGTGAGGATTTTAACAAATTCAAGAATACTCTTTTATTAATGCTTTATGTGCTTCTATTCATCAGGGGAAATGCTTTTCATGTTGTAGCTTGAATTTTCCTTTTATATAAATGAAATGTTGGGAAAATGGCTGTTTACTTCCACTGTGGTACAGCTGTGTAATACACTACAGAGGGAGAGAAAAAAGACAAAATTATTGAAAAATGTTATTACACGGTGACATTTGGGTATGTATTTCAGATGTAACCTAGATAAATAGATTAGGTGCAGAACTGCGATACGGATTATATTTAATAGCATAAATATTTAGGAGATAAGTTGTCCCATTGAATCAAGTTGCAGGATAAAGAGGCAAAGTGTTGGTACTAGCAGTGATCTGCATCTGACTCCTCATATCCAAAACTCCAGGATGGGCTGACACCACAGCATCAGCTATTAAAAGTAACAGTACATGGGATGTTGTTCTCTGTGTTGCCATACCATTGAGTAGTGAGATGAGGTCAGATGGATTCAACTGCCAACTAAAGTTGGACCTAGATCTAAGCTGACTTTCATTTTACCAAAGAAATCACCACTTGGAGACAATTAAAAAATTCTGTCTTCATACAGTGAACAACTGCACTGCCTGCAGTGGCAATTCAGCATAAATGCATTACCCATCTAAAGCACCTGTATTTCATATAAGAAACATATATCAAGGGTAAAACAATTTGATTTTCTTCAAGAAAAGTAGGATACCAAGAAGAGAATTCAAATACTGTTCTCTGATCCACTCCAGTTTTCTTCAGACATGCTGGATGTACCTGCAAAGAACAAAAGCAGAGCTGAACTCAGTAACTACTCAGTGATTAAACATGTAATTATTTTAATAAGGGATAATGCCAATGTATGGAGTTCTTCTAGGCTGTGCTGGCTAGAAACTTTCTAATGGAATAGTTTTCTGTATTTAAGTTCTGATTGATCGGAAAAATCCCTCCCAATACTTGCATCAAAGCATTACTAAGTCATAAGGAATGAAATTCATATCCTGTCTTAGTTTCAGGAAAACAGTTTCAAATTTTCATTTCAAAATGTATTTTCTTAGTTCCAGAAACATCTAAAGCACTACAGATCTTGTGTTGCTTGTGGTGCACTTTCAGGTAGAGCTCCCTTTAGTACGCAGAGGCCTGGACTCTCTTGGGTGGTCTTAGAGGATCCCTCGTGGTCTTGTCTTTCTGTATTCCAGTAGAGAAAGAAAATACAAAAATCTAAACCAGTTAAAATAAAAGCACATCTTAATTTGTAGTGAAAATAAATATTTTGAGGAACACCATTTTTGCCCCAAATGCTTTGTAACATAAAGTTTGATCATTCAGTACTTTATTCTCCTTGAAGCAAAACTGATGACTGTAATAATGGACTTTTACCCAAAGCACAATTTCTCTTTCCTGCATAGCTCTCATCTGATGTCCTCACAAACTCTCTGGGGTAGGGTATGTATGGCTGAGGAGTGGTTGACTATGGGAACCACCCCTTCTTCACCAAATTCCAACTCTCCTAATAAAAAAAGAGTTGAACAGAGGATGTATTTGACCTCGCTGTCTATCTTTTGGTCAATAACTAAAGAAAAGCTATAAGAAAGTAACAGGAAGAAGTGAAGAAGCAGAATTCACTTACCATGTGATTGTCCACTGTGCGCCAGCCCAGCTGACCATGCGTAAACTAGATTCCACTTCTCCTCCACTAAGGTCCCCATTTGGTTTTCCAGATTCCAAGATACCAGAATCACCATGAGGAACATTCATGCATAAGTGCACACAACATACAAAATGAGGTGATATTTCTTCCCCATAACATAATTCTCTTCTTCGATGCTCTGTTCAGCTCGTAATTCATTAGGGATTACAGAATGGAATACAGTGAAATTGTATGATGTTCTAATTTACTTCATCATCCTCTAGCACATCCCTGGGAGCCAGGGGCACGTGTTGGTTTTCTGCACCTTTGTGTCACAGCTATATTTGGGAAAATTAGAACTAAAAGCACTAGGAGACCTTCTGCCTTCCCCCAGTCCCTGAGGAGTACAGTAACATACAAGAGTGCATACTTTATTTGCAGAGGAGGATCAACTTGAACTTGCACCCCAGACACAAGACTAGCATACTGCAATCAGAAAAAAGAAATAAAACAAACACAGATGTATTGTTGAAGAACATATATATCCACAGAGCTGGTCCCCAGCTTGTCCTCTGTGAAAACAAAAGAAGCCTGTCTGAATGGACCAAAACTGTAATACTCTGATGGTACGGCTTTGAAAATACCCTTGGAGTTCAGGGCTAGTCCAGACCACAGGAGTCAGAGGTAGTTTTCTGTTCAGTACAGACAGAGGGTGGCTTAGATTCAAGAAGCAATGTGAGATACATTTGAGACTTCTGCAATATTTTAATACTACAAACTCATTCAGGGAGAAAACCTAGGTTTGATGAGTAAGGCATCTAGGGCTGCCTGATTCTTATCCATCGTTATCCATCATTGAACATCTTGTACAACCTGGTCATGAGGTGTTGCAGTCACTGTATTTTCTGCTTCAGGAATGTAGGCAAGCCAATTCTTAGCTTGAAGCAAGAAAGGGTTCTAGGTGAAATCTCTCCTCTGAAAAATCAATGAACTTCAAAATGTGCTAAGGTTACCTTGTGTTTGTAACACCACCTTTTCCAATGTTACTGCTGTCTCAAATGAAGCCTCCATGGCAGACAGAGAGTAAAGAGGAAGAGATCTGAATGTGTTTGAAGAAAGCTCTCCTCCCCAGTGAACCTTCTTGTAGCAAAAAGAAAAGACGTTTAAGAGTGAACTATTCAAGTCTCCTACCTATAAGGAAGATTGCCTGTGTGGACTGGAGAGTCCAGCTGTGCAGATAAGTGGTTAGCTGATTTATTTCAAAGACAGCAGGCTATGATATATTCTGACATTTAGGAGGAGCTGTGTGAGTTTTACCATTCCAAGACACTGGAAGTCCAGGAAGTGGTGGAGTATTTGACTTATTTATGAAGAGTAACACATCTTGAGCATGTGCACACCAAACATTCAGTTGCAGGCAAGCAAGCCTTATGAAAGGTACAAAATGAAGCAGTACAGCTCATGAAAGTTTCTCCATGTTCTCAGCACAGGTCCTAACCAGATCATCAGTCTCTCAAGCATTTCTGCTGGAGGACCTGCTAGGACGTGCCATGACTCCCTTGCTGCCCAAGCACAGTTAGTTGTCTTACAACTTTCATGTGCATGGAAGCAGGACACAACTGGGATCAGATCTCCACTCTGAGGTTCTACTGCCTGTAAAGATGGCTTTGCTCTAGGATAATTTCCTGCATAGGCAGGTAGAGAGCTTTTTCTAACCAAGTTCTCACTTGGTGACTTGATGCCACCCATTAGCCACAACAGCATTTCTGTTGCTTTCCACATAAGTAGACTTCGTTACAATTTCTCTCAGGAATTTATGCAGTGGTGAGAATTGCTAATCAGAGCCTGAATATTGAGTGTTCTGCTAGCTCAGAATTTGGATGTCTAGGAAAGAAGGTGTACAGGGTTGAAAAGATGAATGATAGTACCTCCTTCTTCAGGTGAGCTCTTGTCCCTCCTATTTCCACACTGCAGCCTTTAAAAAGAGTATGCTGCATTTCCAAAGAAAATGGTTTGAAGCTACCCCTAGTTTAGAATTTTAGTTGTTCTTTTTACATTTTTATATTTGCCTTCATCAAGGTCCTGAAATGTTTCCTTTAGTCTGTGCAGTTCAATCAATGTTGTCCTTTTTTTGTCTTGTTTGCATTCTTTTCATTATCTCCTTCAGTCTTTATGCATGCATTACTGTGTCCACAAATAAAAGGGATGGTGCTTATCAGCCAGGTCTGAAAGAATGGCTGAAAGGCCAGGAAAAAAGAGGCCAAGCCAGAACAGCAGGAATGAGTGTTCCTCATAGCCCTGGGATGTGTCTGAAGCCAGAGGGAGAAAAAATGCAATATAAGGAATTGTGGAAGCTCCAGGGAAAAGGAAAGAGAGAGGAAACAAAGGAGAGAGACAACTCCCTAGCACCGTATTTACCATATAGTCACATATGATTTTTTAGATATCATGTGTCGTATGTGCGATGTCATATATATTACCAATGACCATGCAACTGTTTTAAACAACTCAGTAACAGATAAGGCATTTTTCACTCAGGCAGTGTTTAAGAAGGAGTTTGCCTTTATGTTTCGGAGTAGGAGGGTGTGAGCATTAAACAGTTGCAAGGAGAGAGTCATTTTGTTTGCCCATATCCCTAGTATTGCTAGGATGAGAAACCATCACAAGCTGTCCCTGAGAGCAACCAGGCTGATGAAGCAGAGAGCTGATCAACTGGTGTGGCTGCGCTGGCCAAAAAGTTGACTGAAGCCCAAAGGGATCTGCAAGAACCCGCTGCAAACCTGCCCATGTGTAGCTTTCTGCCTGCCAAAAGTCATCAGCTGGGAAATACTTCCAGTTACAGCATTGCTAGTTAGGTTATAAACATTGACAAACCCACCCAGATTCAGAAAACACAATTTATGGAGCAAGAAGCTCATATTTAACTTTGTTAAACTAGCCTTAAATGCTATAGTGGATTGCCAAAACCATGATAGGTTTTGACTGGTGTTCCAGATTCTCAGTAACCAGCAAAAAACCCCAGTCACTTCAGGTTTAGTTAAAACTCATTTTAATAAGAGTACTTTCCCCCTTCAGAGTCACTGGGCAGTATATGTATGCTTCTTACCCAGTTGTCTGCACAATTCAGGTGGTTGCCTTTGAGATGCTAGGACTTGCCACTGAAATTCCTGTAGATCTGCCTGCAGTAACTGGAGATTGGGTTATCCGGTGAGTCCCTGTCTGGTTTATAATCAGTGATAATTTGTCATTGGTCCTGATACGCCTTTCTCTTCGCTGCATTTGCATATGCAGCATCTGTGTAGATGTGTGTTCAGTTCAGCTCAGCTCCTTGGTCTGAAATAATGACTTTCTGCTTAGTAGGGCCTGTATGCCAGGAATTAATGACTGCTGCTCCATGTTCCTTTTCAATACTCTGCTATTACTGAACAAGTTATGTATGGAAAACCACATCTCTTTAGCTCTTAAAGACTATGGCTTTTTTCTTGCTTCTAAAGAAAGCTAGAGGTAATTAACTTGGACTGGAAATTCACTTGGTTGTAGGGGTTATCTGGGAGACTGATGTGAGATACCTATCTTAAGATTCTTCCAGCCAAATCAGATCAATTTAGTGAATGACAAAAACATGCAGGTCCATTTCAGATAAAAATGTTACCTCAGATAAAAATGTTACCTCTTCTTTTCTTATCTTTGTTTTTTAAACACTAGTTTTTCCATGGTATTTGAAGACCTGGATTTATTCCAGAGCATCTGGCAAACAAAAGGATGATCTGAAGAAAAAAAAACATGTTCTACTATTCATATGGTGCTCTGCTCCATGGGGCAGGGATCCTGTCTTTAGTACTTATCAGGGCAGCATCCTGCATTATGACAACAGCTCAAAGGTGTTACAGCCATACAAATACTGAATGTTATATTTCTTCTAGTCTAACTTAAGAACAACCACCAGCATATTAAGTGCTTTACTAAATCTATTTATTGATTTCTGGTGCATATAAAAAATAATAAAAAATCATAATTACAGACAAATGCATCTCAAACCTAAGGTGGCTCAGCTCCAGTGCAGGACTGTTCTAACTGAAGACATAGGATTTGGGAAAAAAAAAAGCCAAAACAAAACAAATACAGAATGAATTACTGCCCCAAAACAGAAACATATTGTATCTCTGTGAGAAGCTCTTCTGAACAAGTAGAACAAAATCATTTTGTTCAAGCCAGTGGGGGGATGAGAATGAGACTTCTCTACTAAGCAAATAGTTTCTTGCACTTTCAACACCCCTTTCATACAAATCCCACTAAAAGCTGTTGGGAGAAGAAAAATCACATCCAAACCTAGGCTTCGGGAAAAAGTTCAGTGCAACCTTTCACATTCCCTGTTTTATCTATGAATTTTTTCACTTGCACATACCTAATCTAAAAGCTTATTTATATTGAAGTTTATTGCAAAATCAAGTCAGATGTGAAATAAAAGTGATGTCTCAAACTGGTCCACAGGGTCAGTTGTGTTGTCTAGACAAGATCCAAATTCAACTTTCAAAGCAGCAGCTTGACCTCATGCCTTGGTGCATGCACCATTATAACTGGATGGTTGCTTCTATTACAGGATTAAGCAAATTCCAAGTAATAATATATGTTTTGTCCATATATGGAGAGATTAGAAGTTTAATGGAGACCCTGGAAGGCGTAACTGAAGAGTGATCTGACTGATGGCCTGTCTTCTTTCAGAAAGGTCTCTTCAGAGAAAATAATGTAAAAATAAACAAGCATTATGTCTTGTTTTGTTGAGGAAACAGAGCCTTCCTCTGCCGAGTTATCTGGAAGTAAGAGAGACAAAAGCCAACAGAAGTAGAGTATCTCACTGAAGTTCAATCCCCTGTGAGTGTCCTGCAAGTAAAGAGAGGGCACTCATTTGCCATGAGGACCATGGTAAAACATGCCATGCCTTGGGATGGAGTCATGATCATGCAGACATATGACTTGTGAGATGCTCAGTGACAGGAACACTGGTCTTGGCATGGGATGGGGCATGGTGTCTTCAGCATGGTCAGTGATGGCTTCCAGAGAGAGCGGCCTGGAGGATTAATTAAACGTGCTTTGTACCTCTACAGGAAGCACTAGGTGTGGATGGGAAGGTTTTCTCTGGAGGGCTGTTCACTAACATACCTAATCCAAATCAGACAACTGTTCTCTTGGTTTCCTTCAAATCCCACACTGAACAACATGGGTGGCTTGTCTCCTCTCCCTTCACCAGGTTACTGTCAATCCTGGTTGTCAACCCTAGTGGTTACGGGAATCACCTCCAGTTGCACCCAGCCGTGTGCTTGTTTCTTGTCATGGCAGAGCTGAGGCATTATTTCACTCCACAGCTGCAAGACACCTATGATTAAGTGATTAAATTTCTCGCAGTAAAAGCAGCAGAAATAATACCTACAGTTCTGCTGAAGCTGCTCCGTTAATTGCAGCATACACCAGCAGCTAGATGTTATCTAGTGTCACTGTGAATGGCTGGCTGGTTGAATTTGTGATGGTGACTTTAGCATTTGGCTTGGGACACTTCCTTGCATCTCCTCTGATAGATGCAACCGTACTGTATGAAAACATAAATATAAAAATGGCTTACTCTGTGCATTACGAGGATGGCAGCATCTGTCTCAGAGGTTGTGACATTTCACTGCCAAGAGGATGACACTGATGAGCAGAATCACTGCAGTGAAGTATAGGGCGACAGCAACATAACACCAGTGTGAGTTCTCCAAACAGGTCACTGCCAAAAGAATAAGGGAGAGGGGTCTCACCACAGGCAGAAGGAAGTCAGCTGTTGTTCTGAGCTACGGGAGTATACAAAATCATTGTAGGTAGGCCTTCAGCAGGAATGTGTTGCACTGCGTGCTATAGATCTATCACCTGTTTGAAGAGCAAGTTCATGAGGATATTCTCAGTGTGCTGCAAATGCAGCTGAAAACTTTTTGAAGTTTTTTAGCTAAATGTACCTGTAGAAGCTAAATCTTGCTTTGGAAATTCTTTTCTTAATCAAAAACCAAATGCCTGAAAACTGGAAAGCAATGGGTCCCAGCATTTTAGATAGTAAGTAAAAAAAAAAAAATATATATATCCCATCACTTTATATATTTATGTATGTATATAGGTTTACATGTATATAAACTTGTATATATGGGTGTTTATATATAAAATCACATTTTCAGAGTCTGAAGAAACCTCTTCCGGGCCAGTCCTGATTTTTATCATTATAGCTGTTGAGAAGATGCTTAGAAACGTGAGCTCTCACCTTCTGTTGCAGTGGACAGCTTTGCCAACACTGCATATACCCTGCCTTTCCCTTGGAGAGTAGCTTGCAAGGGTCATGCTACTATGGGCTATTTTTCTGAGGTTACACAACTGAAGACCCACAAGGAAATCCTGAAGTTCACACACAGGCTTTAACAAAAGGTTTTATGGCTAATTTGAAATTCTAGAGACTCTTTCCCCGGATGATTACCCTTTTTAAGCATAACAAAGCAGTACTTGTTTATTTAGTCAAATTCCTGCCTCCATCATTTTCTGCTCCAACGGTAATCCTGCCCAGGACCATTGTGTTCTTTTGATCCCCATTCCTTAACACTTTCTAGGCTGATCTGTATGGTAAAAACCCCCAACAATCTAGAATTAGATCAAACACCTGACTTCTGTGATTTTAAAGAGATTTCAGTGAAGAATGGGAAGGGACAAGGCTCACCGATCACATTTATCCATATACATATCATGTGGCTTGTGAAATTCCTTGAACAAAATTCTGATCACCTGGACATACAGGCAGTGTAGGCAGAATTACAGAAAGGAAGGAAGGAAGGGAGAACTGGGATATAAAAAGGCAGCCAACTAACAGGTGGGCTGATAGGGATATATCAAAACCAGCATTACAGACAACACTTCTCATGCTGCAGTCCAGTCCTGGTTTCACTGGCATAAAACCAGAGGACATTTAAATGAAAGCAAGAAACTGGTTTTGCCTTTGTAACAGCAGGACTGAGATCTCCACTTGGCCCACTCTCTTGTCTGCCCGACTGCTACTTTTAATCAGAAAGACCATCAGAAGCTTTCAGTTTCTTTTTCCTTGTGGTAAGGCCAAATTAAGCCACAAATGGAAACATTTGTTCTCACTAGCATTTTCTGCTAACATTTAATCTATAAATATCTTAATTGTTCCTATGAATTGCACAATTTTTCTTTCCTTTTCTTCTTTTTCATGAGTTAAAACTCATGCCCAATATATTTTTTCACTTTGAATAATCAGATTTACTTTCAGGATTGGTTACACAGTTTGAGAAAACGGTTTAAGGCATCTTAAGACTTTTACTTAAGAAAAGATAGATGCAATTTATCTTGCCAAATAACTTTTCAAAACCTAATTTTTGCTTTCTAGCTATCACTTTCTGAAAGTAACTAATTTTCTGTGCTTTAAATATTATTTCTGACCTGTTCATTCACCCTAATGTATTTGGAAATGAAAAACAATAGACAGAAATTGTCGCTAAAAAGAGCAGAAGAGTTAGCAAGTGCCTTTACTGCAAAATGCATTTTAACCACATATTCTGAGCATCCCTCAAGAGTGGGAAGCAGGAAAAATGGATCAAAATCACCTGCAGCAAACATAGTAAGTGATACTGTCCCATGCCTGGAAAAGTGTGCTGCTGGCTGGGTGGAGAGTTGCTGTGTTTTATGTGGGTCTAACTCACTTGAGGCATGTAATGGCAATTTGTCCTGCTGCCAGGTCCTGGACCTCCAGTGGACTACACTGCCTGCATGGTGTATGTTCATTTTCTTCTGGGATCCTTCTGGGGTGAGCCATCTGGTCCCTTCTTAGAAGAAAGCAAGTCATATTGCTGAGAACCGTTCCTTTCTCACAGTTTTTACTCCTAGATTTTTACTCTCTCTTTTACACCCAGAACTGATGTCCAGCAACAGCCCCAGTGGACGTTCCCATGATCTACATGAGACCTCTTACTGTGCTCCCAGCAGCATACTGCAATGTTGTCTATGTTGTGCTTTAAAAAAAAAAAAACCCATGCACTTTGGTGAGGTACGACACAGCCTTTTAAATACAGGTGTTTCTGAAATAGAATGCATTGGCAGACAGGTCTCATGGAGCCCAAAGGAGGTAAAGTGGCCAGGGACTGGTTTGGTCCAGCATGGCTTGTACTGAGGCTTATGGAGGGAAATTTGTCTGCACCAACCGGCCCTGCGGCCACCCTTTGCTCCCAGATGCTGTTCATATGAGTAGCACAGAAATAAGCCCAAGGCTCACTTGACTTGAGTCCCAGAGCAAAGGGACACCAACCCTGTGGGTCCTCATGGCCTTAGCTGGGGCTGAGGCACAGAAAGTTCAGCCTAATGAAAGCCTGGGGGCCTGTGACTCCACTTGCTGACACTGAACACAGTCACCAGTAGCCATCAGGCAGTCATTGGGAAAACCACCAGCTGGAAAAGGTTTTGAAGGTCCTTTAATTTGCTTAGATCACACCAGCATCTCTTCAGACACCTAGCCCTGCGAAACTCCTCCACTAGATGTAATTATAATGGTATACAAAGAGGATAAAACATACTGAGAAAATGTGAAGTGTCCTGCAGTACTGCATTACCTCCATGTATAGTCTTGGGTGTGCTTTCAGGTCTGTGCCATTTCACATTAACCTCCGTGTATGTGGTTGGATCACCTGTAAAGACAAAAAGTGCTACAATTAGATAACCTGCCCAAATTCAGCCTTTGCCATTCTCATTGCATCCAGTACCCTATGGCATCAGTCCTTCCCTGAGATAGTGGGAAGACCAAGCATACACAAGAGAGGTTGTGGTTTGTTGTTTTTTTCTTTCATTTCCAAATAATATTTGTGTGTCATTGAATGAATGTGACAAGAGGTTAATGCAAATAAGTGGAAAACATGGAAAAGGTAATGCAAATAAGTGTCCTGCTGTGCAGTTTTCCAAATAAATAACAAAAGTTATTAACTTGTTAAATTTTAGAAAATTAAAAACCCCTTTAAGTGACTGTAGGTTATCACACTATACTATTATTAGTTCAGTTTCTTTCTTAGTATTCCATATCTTAGACATGCATGTATATGTTCAATCTGTAATCAGTAGTCAATCAATGGCAACTTTTTTGGCTAAATTAGTTTTTTCTATTTACTTCTCAATAAACTTTTTCTTCCAAGTGAATTCAGATCTTGCATATGGGTACGAAGCACACCTGTTTTCTACTGTGTCTTCTTTTATAAGAGGAGCACAATTACTACGAACAAAACTATGCATGTGCGTAGAGCAGAGACAAGCTGCTTTTCAATCACTTACAAATTAAATGGAATTTTTAACAATTCAGAGTAAACCACCAGATGTAAAATATTATGCAAAATATAAACATTTCCATTTCATCCACAGATTTTTTGTTCCTCAGATTCATCCTTCTATGTATTTAAATGAGGTTTTAATTAATCATTGGTAAGCACTACTGCAGACAGAGCACAGATTTTCAGTACAAACCATTATTTCAGCTTTCTCCTAAAAAAGGGGAGGCTTGTTTGTAGTCAATTTTCCATCAGAACTTCCTTCCCCCCCCCAACCCCCCCACCCCCCCGTCTCCCATTGCTAGTCACAGAACACAAAAACTTGTCCAGAGAAGACTTAACAATAGACTTATCTGAATCTTTATTGCTTTGCTTAATTCATGACCATTCTCATTTGTCAGCAGAGGAGGTCCTCTCCTCTGTCAGTTCCCTGGACACATGCTTTCCATGACTAAGAGCCACTTGCAAAGGAAACTTTCCATCTTTGATGCACAGTTGGCACCACCACTCAAATTGCAGCAGCCTTCATCCTCCACTGAGTTGAGACACCCATTCCCCTGGGCTTGGAAACCCACATTTCACATACCAGGCTAAGACATGTCTGCCTTTAGACGGAGCACATTCAGGCAAAATAAGCCTTAGCTTTTCTATTACTGGGAGACATGCCTTCCAAATGCAAAAGGACTGCCTCTTGCTATGCATGGAGCATGTGGCAGGCACTCCAGCACCTTCTATAACACCATCCCACATTAGGCTTTCAAATTTGACAGGGCAAAGGTCAATGCACATACCAGGGGCTGCTGGAGATCTCCCCATTGCGTATCTGGTGGTCAGTCAGTACAAACCCTCCATATGCCCTGGTAACCACCAGCACGGATGCAACCATTAAAAGAATGTTTTCAGTCGTGTTACAGGAGTTTTACAACCAAGGGAGAGCATTAAAAATGTTGTCAGGGGCAGTTTCCCACAGGAGTGGGATTGCCTGGAAACCCATACATTTCCTGCCCACCCAAGCTTCAACAAGGGAGAGTTTTCATCTGAGAGGCTCTCAGGAGTGCTTGGTCACCTGGGCAGTTTTGCCAACACTACTGCAAGCTGGGCTGGAAAAGGAAGTGGCAACGGGATTTTCAACAGCAGCCGTTTTCCTGAGAAAATGGGTGGATTTCTGAGGTTGCTGTGCTTTAACATCAAGAGCTAAGCATTGCTCTCCTTATCTTAGGAGGTTTTGTCTGTACTTACCTGTTATTATGTATGGATGCTTACACTGGCCATCTACATAACAGAAGAGATCTGTTTTGCTATAACTGTAAAAGGAGTGTCCTCTTTTGACTGTTTAGCTCAGTGGCCAGTGTTAGATGTAAAGCTCAGTGAAGGCAAAGATGATGTTTAAGTACCTGACCTCTATTAAGAACTGCATCACATAGGCAGTGCTTTCAAATTTATAAACTTAAAGGTACTCCCAGAAGACATCTCATTGCCCAGAGGGTGTCTGCAGGACTGTTGGCCCAAATCATCGCTATCATATAGAAAAGCTCTTGGGAGAAGGAAGATGATTAGAGACTTAATGAGGTGGTGAACTGCCTAATGTCACAGTTTATCCTCCATCTTGTGATATTAAATCCGCTGATGAACTGTCAGAGTAAGGGGGAGAGGGGAAGCAGTATGCTATGGGATATGCCTGACTGACCCCAGCAGTTTTGGCTAGGTGTGGCAGAGGAAGGAAGGAAGAAAAAGCTGTATTTTTATATCAACACTGCCTTGTAGGTTTCCTGCTTTGCATGTTTTGCCTGTTTCCCCAAGAGCTACTTATATCAAATTTGCTTGCTGATAGTGTCTGAAAGAAGATGTGCTTTTTTCTTAACAGAAACATCAGATTGTACTCTAAAGTGCCATGGGGAACAGGAGCAAATGCAGACTTCAGCAGTGCAAAATGTAGGTCAAGCCCAGAAACGTGGAGATTAAACTCTATCCACCACATCCATCACAATCACAGAAGTAGAAGAGGACCAAAGGAAGAGGAGAAGCGGGGTGCAGACTAGCCAGGGGACAGGCATAGCGGGCATGGGGAAGCAGACTAAACTGGGAGCTATGTAATCAGATAAGACAGCACAAACACTGAAATCTCTCCAAAACATGCTCAGAGGCAGGGCAGTATGAAACCCCTTTTCTTTGCTGGCCAAGGCTATTCCTGTCTCACGGGAGCAACTTTAGCCTTTCCAAGTCTTGCTATATCAATGATCTAATGTAAAATGCACATGGAGTAAGACAGCAACTGCTTCCTTTGAGCTTTTTCAGGCAGGTGGATGACAGCCAACTTAACTCTCTGAACTCACTGTAGCACAGAAAAGACCAAGCAGTTGCCTGAAGAAAAGCAACCTCCTAAGGATTGTCAAAGCTGCTGAGGTCTACCTTAGGCTTATGAAAAATACTGAATCTAAACCTTTTTTAGTGCCAAGCATTGTCAAATCCCTGCCATGCTGAATGCAGCATCTTGCTTGCGCAGCAGGCAAGGAGTCAGAGCAGTTAACAGCGTTTGGCAGACAATGAGGACTACAATTTCCCTTAGCTCATGCTCTTAACTATGAAAGCAATTGAGCACATGGGGAAATCGAAGATATTACAAAAATATATAATGGAAATTTACATATATAAGAACACAAAAACATTTAATGTTATATATATTTATACTATATATAATAAATTATATATGCATTTTATACAGTTAATATATAGTCTAGATTACAGATTACATGCTATATGTTATGTATTGTATATGATATGGTACATATGATATACTGTGTATTTTATATTATATACTATATATTTTATGTTTTATTCTATATATGTTTATATATTTCTATAATCATATAGATAGGGGTTTTTTTACTTTACAACTAGGACACCCTGATAGTTTTAAAAATTCAGTATCGAAGTATTTCTTCATGAAAGATATTACAATCAGCTGGTAGAAGAAATTGCTTTAGGATGTTACTAAAGAAAAGCATTTCTTAGGACACCACAAGGGATGCAAGATTCACAAAGTAACAAGCATATAGTCATTGCAATTGAAAAGGTTTTACCAAAAGCTTATGGAGGGGTAAACACCATGTTGTCACACTCTAAAGCACAAGAAACACATTTTGCCTGGAATTTGGTTACTGAATTAGCCTCACAATTGGCCATCATTCTTTTTTTTTAAGCACTCTCTTTCCAAGCTTCTCATCCTGGTGACTTTCACAAGTAGGTAACTGGGTTAGAGGGCTCTCGGGATCACTTACAACAGCCATTTCTAAGCATAATTCATTGAAGTTCATTGTGAAGCTGCATGAAAGCACTTGGGACTATAAAATACAACAATGTTTAAAGAATAGTTTCAGGTGAGAAAAATAAAAAATATGGAACAGACTTTTATACTCTGAAATTTTGAATCATTTTGTACAAATGTTTAGTTTTACTGGGCATGTGTGTTCTTTTCTGTAAGTACTTATGATGTAGTTCTGCGCTGGGGTAATGGAGATTGTCCTGGCAGTACTGCTTTTTTACCATGAACTGATCACACAATCTAAGGGGCAAACTGAGTTAACACATGAAAGACAAGAATGTCATACCTATACTTTTAGTACCGTGTCCCAAGGAGGAATCTACAAAACTTATAGAATAAATTTTGCTTTGCTAACATATTCAGGACACATTTTCCTTTCATACTGTG